AAATATTTGTGCCGATAAAAAGAATGTATATACTTAAAAATGTCTTTATATTTGGGCTGCAACCTTTCTCTTAAACATATTTCTTTACATATGGCGGACAAATTTAATTAGTTTTTTATTTAGTTTTTGTAGCATTCTTACGTGTTTCGGTTTGGTAGAATTCAGTGAGTCCAAATATTTTCCATAATATCTATTGTCTCATATCGGCCAATTCTTTCGCCATTTACATTTTTAGTCTCTTTTCATGTTTTGATTGTTTGAGCTGTATTCTAGTTTTGTGTTTATTTTGAACACTAATAGGTTTTATTCCGGGCCTTTGCGTGTTGATACATTTTGCGTTTTTAGACTCAACCACTTATTTACGTAGATCTTTAAAGAACAAAAAGAAGAAAAGAAAAAATGAAAATTAAAAAGCTTTTTAGCATTTAATAGGGAAAAATTGAAGACTGAGAAATAAGTCTAAATACTTGTTGGCCAAAAGTTAAGACCATATTTAAACGATACTTAGGGCACTTAGGGTTGGTGTAATGGTTAGCAAGCTTGTCTCGCTAGGACGATTACGACTGAGTAGTGTTCGATCCTCACTGGTTGTACCCTCTTTTCGGCCTTGTGTCACTATTAAGCTACGCTTGGAAAATCAGTATTTAAACGAAGGCTTGCATTACACCATCTACAAATTAAAAGAATGACCAGGATTGGCGTTGCTTTAACTTACGAGCCTACTTGAAGCAAAGATTTAAAATCATTTATTTTTTAAGTTTAAATCAAAAAGAAGCAAAATAAAAAAATAACAAAATTGTCAATGGAAGTATTTGCACCATGATTCGAAGGTTAGAATTCTAAAACAAAAAAAAAAAGAAGAGTTACCTCCAAGACCGTTATACTGTGTGTTCCTATAATATCGTATTTAAAAATAAATCTAGAAAAAATACTGAAAAGTTAGATTGATTAATTTTTCTCTATAATAGTAATCAGAATTGATTTCGGAACAGCCAGCTCAATTTAAAAAAATAAAAACTTTTTGGCTCTTTACTCAGGACCAGCAAATAGAAGATAGCAGCGTAAGGCTGCTGAGCCTTATTAACAGAAATTTTAATATAACCATTTCTACAACTGTACACACACACACACACACACACACACGAGAGAGAGAGAGAGAGAGAGAGAGAGAGCGCTCAGGCTTACGTTTCTTTGTTTTTTCTCTCTCACACACATACGTGTCCTGGGTAACACGATAAACTACATCCACGTCTGGGTTAAGACGATAAATTACGTCCAACGGCAAGGCCTCTGATCAGGAGCTTTGAGGAGCGTGGAACTACCTTATTTTCCATAATACTACAGACCTATATTTTAAATTCTCGATACGATTTAACGTATTTGATTATGGCACCCTATTAATAGTTCAAAAGATAACGTCAGACCATACTTAATAGTAAGTTTGATCGGTTCGACAAAGTCGAATTGGCAGCTGATCTCAAAAATGGCCTACAATCTGTTGTTAAATAGGGCAAGGAGTGGCTTGTTAATTTTAAGGCCTCAAAAATGATTTTTTTTCTTTTAATCATATGAGAAAACTCCTTTTAACTTCCATCGACATGGCTGATGCTAACTACCAACACAATTGCACCTTCTCTGATTAATGTTTTCAGCTGACATGAAGTGCAAACAATATGAAAGTCAGCAGCTAAGAAAGTTATCGTGCTAGAATTTTTTTTTTCTGACCAGAATCTTTCTTACATATTTATAAGTCTCTCATTCGCCCTTGCTCCGAATATTGCCCCTGTATCTGGTCTGGTACGCTTGCTATAAACTTAATAAAAACTACAAAGTAGAATCTGCAATGTTACTGGTCTTGACCTGGCATCTCATCTTCAGTCACTTTCCCACTGCCGGAACGTAGCTTCCTTATGCCTCTTATTAATTCTTATTATTTTATTGTCCTCCGTCCTGATCTGAATATCAGTTGTTTTTTCTCTAACAATCAGTAACCTCTCTCGCTTCAGTGTCTTTATTGAGTTGCTTGGGGTGAAATGTTATATAAATTAGTTTGTAGAATTGTAAATTATATATTACTCTAATAGCGCTTCTTCTTCTTCTTCTTCTTCTTCTTCTTCTTCTTCTTCTTCTTCCTCCTCCTCCTCCTCCTCCTTCTTATTCATTTTATTCTCCCCCCTCCCTTCCTCCTTCTACTCCTCCACGTCCTCCTCAAAAACCCTCCTCATCCTCCTTCTTCTTCTTCCTCCTCCTCCTCCTCCTTCTTCTTCCTCCTCCTCCTCCCCTCCTTCTTCTTCTTCCTCCTCCTCCCCCTTCTTCTTCTTCTTTCTCCTCCCCTTCCTTCTTCTTCTTCTTCTTCTTCTTCTTCGTTATTTTCTCCCCCCTCCCATCCACCTTCTACTCCTCCCCCGTCCTCCTCAAAACCCTCCTCACCCCCTTCTTCTTCTTCTTCTTCTTTTTCTTCTTCTTCTTCTTTTTCTTCTTCTTCTTCTTCTTCTTCTTC